TTTTTTTTTTTTTTTTTTTTTTTTTTTTTTTTTTTTTTTTTTTTTTTTTTTTTTTTTTTTGCTTTTAATATCCTTCAATGTTATTACTTTTTATGATATCCTATAATTAATTCCAAATTAGCTTCAAATGGTATGTTATTATATATGATTCTCATCATCATTATCAAATTTTAACCTCATCCTTCAAATTATTAAGAGTTTAAGTAAGAAATATAACAGCCGGTAGAGAATCCTATTTAAATCAGAAATGAGGGACGGAGCGGACAGAGAATCTCGTTCATCCTCGTCCCTACCCCGCTTAATATAAATATATATATATATAGATCGTATCTGTGACGAAAAAGTCTTTTCATTCCATGAAAAATGTTTATATATATATATATATATATAAACAAGTATTTATAGTAAAAACCAATTTAGATATATATAGTAGATAGTAATATATGATAAGTGATTATATATGGTAAAACTATATATAGTAGACTGAATTTATATATATATATATAACTATTTTCTTTCTATATATTATCGGTGAATATTTGAATTCATCGATATAAACCTTTTGAATTAGTCATTGTGTTCTTTATGTTCAATGAGTGTGTTGTTGTTATCTAGATCGAGTGCGTGCGTTATTGTGTGATCCTAACAGGTTTGATGTGTATTCAAGATTAGCTATGAGCCAAACGTACGGATACTTTTTTTAATTTTCGACACAGTTACTACCTATAATGTTTTGTTACCTCGTACCTAAGAAATTTCATTTATACTGGTTTTAAATAGTGTTTCGATAGATATCGAAGTATTATAAAGCTAAAAACTATGTTGAAGATTTTTTAAATTTTTAATGACTATGTTGTAATATCAAATTTTGAACTTTTAGGAATGACGTTGGTAGAACATTACCATGGTATTTTTGTTTATGGAATAAATTAATTTATTATAAAAATTCTATTGAAAATTTTGCTTTTTTAAAAAATATATATATACAAGATTTTCCACGATAATGAAAATAAGATAGGTAGTCGGAGTACGATAGGTAAGGCTTCCTCATCTCTTTCCTAACCTGTGACTTTAAGGAAGAACAACGTACGAAAAAATCTGAATTCGGCACCTGTAACTTTGTTGATGAAGATATCGTTTTAGTTAAATTTGTAACGATTCATGATGGTTTATGCTCAAATTTTGAATAAAAATTCGAAATCTGGATTTCGTATCTAATGGCCCGAGCATTCTTCTGTATCCCCTGCAATATAGTCCTGTTACCTACTTTTCGCTTCTTAAGAGTGAAAACTATTACCACATACCAACCCGAGTTCTTCCAATATTATTTATTCTCACTCACATGCATCTTAAGAAAATTTTTAGGTTTAACCCAAGGTCCAAACACCCACGACCCAAAACCCACAACAAACCCAAACCTAATACTCTCCCAACACTAGTGATCTTTATTTTTACCCCCATTTTTCCATTTTGGGCCACCCTTTTGGAGTCCGAGTTTGGTACTTTTAAAGGCATTTAAAACGACTATGATCACTTTTATAGGTAGACTAGGTCGATCGATGAGTTCTAATCCAATGTCTGAACGAATAAAGGTTGACTTGGATTTCAAAAAACAACTGTGGAATAAATTCAAGGATAAATTAGTGACTCCGACTTAAGTTTCTCAAGTAAGTGGCTCTACTATCAACATAGTCGGATGAATTGAATAATGCATGAACGACACATGCTATGTGGCCCCTTCACGTGCCGAGTTTTATTACTGATGTGAGTGATGTACTCTTACTTTTTAGGTAAAGGCAGACATCTCTCCACATATGGCTATAGGATTGAAGTTATGATAGATGCATCTTAGGTAAAGACAAGTCCACGACATCGTTTTGAAATGTTTTAGAAGATTTTTTCGCATTTCGTACAAATTCTCAAGAATCAAGTTTGCGTCATTTATGACCCACAAGAAATTGTGATCACAAAAGTCAACATAGTTAGTAATACTTTCTTTCTTTAATGATAACTCATAGCATCACGCACAAAAAAAGTAGAACGGGACATCATCGCTTTGGTTACTTTAACTACGAAGCTTTGAAAAGTTTTTAAGTTTCTAGTTTTCAAATTGGATACGGATATGAGTGGTTTGGGTTGAGTTTTTTTTAGATGAAATTCAATTATTTAGATGGTAAATTTTTTCAACGTAAATAATTTTTATTAAATAATAAACTCAACTCAAACTAACTAGGTGATTTTATGCACGTTCTTACTTTACATGAGTATTTTGGCATATCTCGACTCTTGTGGAAACCTTCCCCTAGCTGACGCGTTTTAAAGCCTGAAAGGGAAAGTCCAAATTAGACAATATCTGCTAGCGGTGGATCTGGTTAACACGTACATTTCAAAATATGATTTAAAATCTCTCACACATTCCCAAAAATAAAAAAATAAAAGATAAGGCAAAGAATGGGTAGTTTTAATATAATTTAAAATCTTTTGCCACCTCTAACTTATTAAATCTTGTTATTTTAACTATTATAACTAGAAAATTAGGGTCGTTACAAATAGTATAAGAGCTAGACACCGAGTTGGACATTGGGCCCTAAGGGGGTGAATTGTGAGATTCCGGAAAGAGAAACGAAACATTCTTTATAAGCGTGTGGAAACCTCTACGTAACAGATGCATTTTAAAATTGTGAGACTAATAACGACATATAACGAGCCAAAGCAAACAGTATCGATTAGTGGTAGGTTTGGACTGTTACAAAAAAACTGTCTATGTTAATCTCCACGTGTATTTTACATTCATCAATTTATATAATAATAACAAAAAGCAGATGAAAATTGAATTTTTTTTTATAATACTTTAATTTAAAGGTACGTGACAACATTTTATTTATCGAGAATCGAAAGATAATATCTTTGAACGAACACTTTTAGATCAAAATTCTCAAAATCTTCAAAACTGAGTTGCTTGAATTATAGTTTAATCAAGTAACGATAAATAAAATGTGATATGTTTTCTTGGAATTTACAACTTTGAATTAAAAATCAATCAAACCCTTTTGTGAATTTACCAAAATACCCCCATAAAGAAAGAAATTGATGCCACATGCTATGATTTGAAGAGCCCATACTTTTGAGTAATATCTTTTGCTGAGTTTGAGGAAGAAAATTCCACAAAAAAGTTTGGAATTATTGAACCAATACTAAATAAATGTCGTGATCGATGACCCGACCCTCGATTCACAATCTCTTATGATTTGAAGGGTCGGGCGCCTAATTCGTCATGGGATAAGAAATTTCTGGAGAATAGGAAATAAAATTAGTGGCAGATAGATATCGAGATGTCTACTTTAAAGTCTCTTTAGACGGTAATGTTTCATAATATATATTGAAATTGAATTACAGATCTTAATTTAATGTTTAAAAATAAATAAATAAATATTTTTTACAAAAAAGAAAAAAAAATTGAATAAACGACTCCAATAACCCTAAATAAACTCATTCACAACTAGAGTCGGAAACAGGCAGATTCTAGTAATGATTTTCTAACTAGGAGCATTTTCTTATCTCCTTTGCATGAAGCTCTGTAGGACTTGAAAGCTCGATCTAACATATTGCGTGAGTGAAAAAGGAATATCTCAGGGTTAGGGATGCGATACACGAGAATGGAATGGGCTGAAAATGGAGTTTCTGTTTGTAAACGAGAAGCGAGCAATTCCTCTTTCGTGGCTTGTTCGTCCTACCTTGAAATTTAACCTAGTTCTGTAAAAATAACGGGAAGAATTGCTCAGGGGTACCCGTAAGCGAGACTTATTTTTAAGTTGTGTTATAAATGACTTGGCTAAACCTATTGATGACCGAGGTGAAATTTCAGCTTCTTCTGACTTTTGGTTAATTAAATCCCCTACTTCTAGTATTATTTCGGTCGAGATGTTCAAATATCAAATATTTACAAGTCACGACGCATTACTAACATTTGATACAAATATCAAATATTCTTAATCTTCATAACAATCTTAAAAGTCGGGTTTGATTACATCGAATTGTGAACCCTATTTTCGAGTTGGTTGGGTTGACTCGACAAAAAACGTTTCAAGCCCCAAACCAAACCGAATTTTTTGACTTTTCAAAAATTCAACCGAATCCAAATCAGAAAAAGAAATATGACAATTGGGTTGGGTAGTAGGGTTGCTCAGATCGTCAAGTCATATAAATACACCGATTTCTACCCTTCGTTGTATAAATATATCAACATATTGAGGATGTTTCAACCGAGATTCTTACGAGATCAAATTAACTTTAGAATCATTCAATTCTTTATTAAATATCATATAAATAGAGCCATACAAATAGTCAAAAGCATGAATAAAGAAACATGGTTATTTTCCCCGATTGATAGTCTAATTGGATAGAAGAACTTCGTTAATAACTCGATCCAAATTTGTGCACGACGAACCACCAATCTTGCAAGCCTCCTCGGCCTTCCTCTTCCACTCCTTAGCATTTTTCTTCATGATCTCACCCTTTTCCCCTTCCATCAACTCTCTCACAAGCTTCTCGACTTCATCTCTCTTCACATTGTTATCGATCTCCATACCGTTTCCCCACTCGGTATTACAATAGCGACAATTCGTTTGTTGCTCAGCAAAAAACGGCCATGAAATCATCGGTACTCCGCTCACAATACTTTCCATCGTCGAGTTCCATCCACTATGTGTCAAAAACGCTCCAATCGAACCATGCTTCAAAACCTCCTCTTGGTTACACCAATTAGCCAACATACCTCTTTCTCTTGTCTCTTCCAAGAACTCAATTGGCAACATTGCTGATTTCCCTTCCACAAGATCAGGTCTTGTGATCCACAAGAATGGCTTCTTGCTATTTGCAAGTCCCCATGCAAACTCAATCAGTTGCTCTTCATTCATCACCGTGATACTTCCAAAGTTCACGTACAACACGGAGTTGGGTTCCTTGGAATTCAGCCACTCGACGCACTCGGATTGCTCGTTCCATAGATTCGAACGAATTTCCTTGACTTTCTTGTCATCGATCAGCTCGGAAACCAAGGAATTGATTGGACCAATTGGGTAAATGGGAGGAAGCTTGGAAGAAAGTGATTCCAACACGTGATGCTCAAGTGAATCAAATGTGTTTATAATTATTGCTGAAGCTTTAGGGAGAGCATCACATTGTTGGATGAAAAAGTTGAGCATTATGTCATTTTCATCGGTTGTTCTAATGAAACTTGGGATATCTCTTAGACGAATTCTTTCCATGGGTGGAATCCATTCGATCGTTGTTTCTAGATCACCGTTTGTCATAAAGTTTTTATCTGTAAACAAAATATTAAAAAAAAAAAAAAAAACAAAGAATTAACTCTTGAAAGCTTATGCTCAAAGTAGACAATATCATACCATTGTGGAGAGTGGTGTTCATCAAAAAATGGTATTAGAGTCATACCCTAAACTTCGTCATACCAATAGATTGGTAAATCCTCAAATGTCGAACAAATGACTCAAAAAGAAAATGAGTCGAGTCTCCTCGAAGGCATAGTAAAAAATGACTAAGACTCAAAAAAAAAAAAGAGTCGAGCATCGATTAAGGAGGGGCGTACTTTATTCGAGGGGAGGTGTTGGATGATGAAAATCTCACATTGGTTAATTTATGAAATGATCATGAGTTTATAATAAAAAAAAAACTCATTGGAATGAGGTCTTTTGGGTAAGCCCAAAACAGAGTCACAAGAGCTTATCTCAAAGTGGATAATATCATATAATTAGGGTTCAACAAAGGGTTTGTTTCAAAAAAAAAAAAGACAATATCTATTAGCAGACAATATTGGCTAGCTTGCTATACAGATCTTCGGTTACCATTTAAATTGTAGATGTTAATGAATAAAATTTTAACCAAAAGAGAAAAAGAAACAATAGGATGTTCATACCTTTAAAAGGCACAACGCCCTGCTCAACAAGCTTTCTATACTGCATATATCCAAGGCACCCACAAGCACTCGCCGTCCAAAAAATGGCGATGGGGATCCCAAACTGACGGGCAGCCAAGATGGTGAAAGTCATGACACCATCACCAACAACACAAGAAACAGGCGGCATATGGCTTGAATTGATCTCTGAAATCAGGCTGCAAAGTGGAGCCAAGCAATTGCGGGAGGTGGAGTAGCAAAGCGATGGCACATCTTGTGTGGCGTCCTTCACCTCCGACGTTGGCAGCCCGTCCGGGATGGTTCTGAACTGAAAGTCAGGCAAGCCATCGAGGGAGTTGGGGCCTCTGGCTTTGAGGTGCCGCTTGTGGTTGTATTCTGTGTTGACGAAGGTTATGTGGAAGCCTTTGTTGTGGAGGAGCTTTGCTAGCTTTAGCATCGGACTTATGTGGCCTTGTGCTGGATATGGGATGAAAATGGCATGAGGTTTCTCTGCCTCGTAAAGCGTACCCATTGCTATTTTTTCTTTTGGGTTTGCTCTCTCTATCTAGTTCTTTTATAGAACGAGAAAACGGGTTCACGTGGAATCGAGAATTTTTTTAGAACTAATCATTTTGTGTCAGATCTCACATCAATTGGAGAGGAAAACGAAATATTTCTTATGAGGGTGTGGAAACCTCTCTTGTAGACGCGTTTTAAAATTGTGAGGTTGACGGCGATATGTAATGAGCTAAAGCGGACAATATATACTAATGGTGAGCATGGACGGTTACAAATGGTATCAGAGTCAGTCAGACACCGGATGGTATGTTAGCAAGGATACTGGCCACTAAGGGGTGTGGATTGTGAGAATCCATACTAGTTGGAGAGATAGAACAAAATGTTTATTATGAGGGTGTGGAAAACTCTTCCTAGTAGACGCGTAAAAAAATCGTGATGTAACGGTGATATGTAACAGGCCAAAACGGATAATATCTACTCGCGGTGAGCTTGGACGGTTACAAATGATATCAGAACTAGACACTGAGCGGTGTGTCAACGAAGAAGCTCAACCTCTAAAAGGGTAGATTGTAAGATCTCACACAAATGGTAGAAAGGAACAAAACATTACTATATCAACAACAAGCCAAAGTGGACAATATATATTAGTGGTAATTAGGCTTGAGTTGTTACAAATAGTATCAGAGCAAAACATCGGGCGGTGTACTTGCGAGGACGCTAGCCCACAAGGGGTGGATTGTGAGATCTCACACGATTTGGAGAAGGGAACAAAATATTACTTAGGAGGGTGTGAAAACCTCTCCCTAGTAGACGATGATATGTAACGAACCAAAACAAACAATATCTACTAGCGGTGAGCTTGTACTGTTACAAATGGTATTAAAACCAAACACCGAGCGATGTGTCAGTGAAGACACTGGACCCCTAAAATGATGGATTGTGAGATCTCACACCAGTTGGAGGGAGGAACAAACATTTCTCATGAGATTGTGGAAACCTCTCCCTAATAAACACATTTTAAAACTATGAAGCTGACGCGGACGGCAACGCGTAATGGCTCAAAACCAATAATATCTACTGGTCGATTGTAAACCAACCACCGTTTTATAGCGTTTATTATTATTGAATAGTTTATTATTTTTGCTATAATTGAAGTGGGAAATTACATGTTCAAGCTGATTTTGTTGGTTTTGCTTTGGAAGGGTGTTAGGGTAAAATTGTAAAATGAAAAATATGACCAAGACAGATCATTGACAAATCATTGTAGACCATGTGGCTCGTCTCTTCCAAATAAAGAAAAACAAGCCAAAAAAAATGACAGAAAATTCAATTTAAAGAAATTTATGTTCTAAAAAATACAAAAAAACTTTTTATACCAATAATTGAAATATTGTGACGTGTAGGTCCGTGTTTGGTCCACAACTTGAATATTCACTTGAATATTAGGGTCGGGAAATACAAACACATTCGTAAAAATATTACGACATGGTTTGGGCTTTCCTTTCCAGTCCAGGCACGGTTGAATATGTAGTACTTCCTACACACTGTCCACGCATACATGGATCCATCAGACGGGCTCGTATACATACTCACATTGCTAGACACCATAAAGGGAAAAGACCCATATAATATAAATATTGTAAGGTATGCTTATGTACTAATCATAATGGAAAAGTATACCGATGCATATGATATACAAAAATGTATGAGGTTCCTATAACTTAAAATTATGGCACAAGTTTAGAGGTAAGTTAAACGTTCATTGTCCATTCATTCATAACATAATGAGTCTATGAAATATAACTACGTAATTCTTATCATATCTTTCATCCTTAACATAATTTACATGGCACGATGTATTGAAGTCTACGCATCATAGATTACATAATAACATTATAACATAATTTGTAATATTGTATAGCATAACAGTCATAATCAAGACACGTGCAGGGGCCACGAGGCACACATCATTATACGTCATATAATTCATCCAACCAAACCAACAGTAGAGTCACTTGCTTGAGTAACTTAAGTTGGAGTCGCTAATTTATCTTTGGAGCTAGTATGAATTTGTCCCTTGAAATCTAAATCAACCTATGTAAGTCTCCGACACCGAGTTAGTACACACTAAGCAGCTTAACCTACTCAAACCACGTTTTCATTTTTCAACCCAACAATACGGTTATTTACCGAGTATTTCTTAAAATACTCAAACCACGTGTTACTCTCATTTTTTAAATAAAGGTCGGGAATTTATGTATGGAGGATGAAATCACAGCAATGACCCTTAGGTTACCCATTGTCCTGGACCTGTTGTCTTCTTCCTTCGTCTGCTGCTACCTACTGCAGTCGTACTGTGATTCAATGTTGTCACCAACATTGTTTTGTTTGTTTGTTTTTTTTTTTTTTTTTTTGGCTGCAGCTGTATTGCCTCCTAATTATTATCGCTCGGGTAGCGACATGAGAAAAAGGTCTAAAGTAGTACTAATTTATATCCTAGCGACACGAGAAAAGGTCTAAAATCATAATAATTTATATGGCAAGTGTTGAAAATTGTCACAAATATCTAAGTCGGTAATATTTTGAATTCATAAATACTTTTGGTACAACCCCGTTTCGATTCATGAATCTAGTTCATTTCTCGTGTTAGTAACACTTCGTAGATGCTTAGAGACAATCTAGAGGAATTTTGTGAGACTCTATAGTGTGAAATTGTGAGAGATACACTTGTAAACACTTTGGGTTATAGTGATCGGTTGCCGCTCGTGTACATAGCAGAATTTCTTTTCTTCAGATCAATTAAATTTTTGTGTCTCTTTGTTTATTTTCGTTCGTGGATATGTAAATACAATTAATCTTACTTTCATATCCGTTAACACTACCCAATCGAAGAAGCATCATCCTCCTTTTTAAATTGACAAAATTATTATTTATTTTTATTTATTTATTATTATTATTATTATTAATATAACTATTGGACAGTAGAATAGAATATGAAATATTTTCCAAAGTAGTTAAAAATATTATTTTAATTAGTTTATAAAGAATTATTAGTCAACAGATTCCCATAAGAAAATTAATTTATTTTTTGCTTTATTGTAAAATCATTAATTAAAAATACAAAAGTAATAAAGATTTAAATAAAGTAGTTTTGGTGCATTAAATAAAAAATTAGAGAAAAATTAATTGTAATCTGACAGCTGTCAATACAAAAATTTAACTAACAATTATATTAATTTATATACTTATTCATATTCTATTTAAAAATATTAGTTTATATAAAAATTTATAATTAAATTCATTAAAATACTAAACCTTTATAATTAAATCATTTTAGATTAATTAATTTTACTGGAAAGAAAAACTATTATTAATTAGTTCTTTAAAATATTATAATTATTATTTATAATATGTTATATTATACCTATTTTAATTTTTATAAAAATGAAATGAGTTTGGAGTATCAACATAGTTTTTAGTGTAATTCTACATTTTTTATAATTTAAATCATATAAAAATGTCCCGATGGCTCGACAACTTATTCTCGAGAGTCTTTGTTAGTCTTTTCTAATCGACCTCGGGCTTGTTGATTAGTGAATCAGTCATTGGCTTGGCATCAATTGAAATTTTGAAATCTTGATTGAGTTCATTCTTTCAATACGTTATTTTCTCCGTTTCCTGCATTTGGCGTACTTTATTGTTTATTTATTTAATTATTCACGTGTTTTATGAGTTTTACAATATTGAGTTCGATTAATTTAATCTTAAATATGTCGATATCAATAATGACTCATTATTTCGATGAACGGGTCAATACCAACCTTTAACGATCAAGACAAACCCTTTCATTTCAAATTCTTTAATTCGTTATGAATCTAAGTCTAATTTCTTAACAATTGTTAATGAATGAAATAAACATTCAACGAGAAAAATTATAGTAGGCAATAGCTGAGTTTTAGCCAAGGGCATGTTCGATGTCACGGTCATGCTTGTCCAAGATATGTTGTTTGTGGCTGTATGTCGAATGTCCCAGTCATCCTTGTACAAGACGTGTTGTCTCTAACCGTATGCTCGTTCCAAACCTTTTTTACATGCTTTCATATTAGATAGGTTTTACTATTTCATGTTGGGACAATATAGGGTGTATTACCGTTCATCAAAATTATATCTACACCCGCAAGGACTAAAATGCTCCAAAATGTACTATAGGGAGACGTGACTAGTTGTACATTCTTCTTACCTGGGTTATATGTATCAAAGTCGTTGTTGTTGCCTACTCACTTTTAGCTTATAACATTACTTTCTTTAAATTATTTTCAACGTATTTCCTCGCTCACATTTTCTAAAATATTTCTCTCAAATGTGACTCCAGACTCGAGCATATGACGATATTGTCTGCGAAATCTGAATTTCACACAGCTAACTTGGTCGCTTGGTTAGAACAAATGTCGCACAATCATGGTCCCATTGTCGCAAGAGTGCTATTGTGACACTTCGACATGTCGTACCACATACCACGAGAGTATGTGCATCGTATTCTTCAGCAAACTGTAGGGGAGACAAGCCACCATTGCCCCTCGTGACCCCTCCAATTGACATAGGGTGTGCTTCATTCCATGTATTTGCACTGGGATCGTACCGCCAGACACATCTCATGGCCGAAGCACAACCACAAAATGGAGTCCCATCACTTGATATTTAAAATTTTGAAGTCCAACCACCCTACAACTTAGTATAGTATATTATGTAATTTCTCTTCTTTGGTCGATTCACGAAAGAGAAATAGGTGGTTATCGAGTAAGAATCATTTTGGTTATACGTCATTGTTTGAAATCACAAACCTCTGCAGTAGCATGATATTGTCCACTTTGAGTATAAGCTCCCATGACCTTTCTTTTAATTTTTCCAAAACGGCTCATACCAATGGAGATGTATTCTTTAGTTATAAACCCATGATTAACCCCTTAATTAGTCAATGCGGGACTCCCTCCCAACAATCCTCCCCTCGAACAAAGTGCACCATAGAGTCTCCCCTAAGACCTA